CGTATATGTATTGAGTTTAGAGCTAATGTTGATTTGCCAGTAATCCTCTGATGAGATGGCGACGAAAACCTTTAGGAACAAGCTTCTTTATTTACATGAAAACAAGTTTTGCTTATAATGTTTGTACTGAGTCCGCAGCTTACTCTATTTATTGCGTTGATTATTATTATTATTAACTGGTTTGAGGGAAAGAGACAAACGGTATATTATTATTATTATTATTACAGGGTGCGACAGAGCTCTCGGCCATTGAAGAAAATGTTGAGAAGAAAATGTTGAGTCACCTCCACCATTAAACTGCGCTCTTTAGCCGACTAGACCCTATATGATAGCAGTTTGGTCTATATTTTTAATCATTCAACATCTACCTTCACTGATGAGCTATATATTAGCGAAGGAGTTTATCAATATCGTCTACGGAAGTGTCCTCGCAATGGTGATGGTTGTGTGCAGGAGGGTCTAGTCCGCTAAAGAGCGCAGTTTAATGGTGGAGGTGACTCAACATTATTATTATTATTAAAACAGAGAGGTTCCAGGCTGTCCAAGAGAGTGCTCAATACCGAGTGGTAGAGCTGGTTCAAACAATAGGAGGACAGAGAAAGTGTTTTTACTCCGAGTTTTACGCACTAAGCAATCATCAGAAAACAGTAATGAGAAATCTGGATCAGTATTGGTTTATATACTCACAAAGCAAAGTGTAAATAGCTGCAGCACGGCGCAAATCTAAAAGTTGTGAATGGCGGCAGTGCAAAGCGTGAATGACTGCATCATGAGGCAAATCCAAAAGTAAAAGTGTGAATGACAGCAGTGGTGAAAGGTGACAACCACTGGAGCCGGTTGTCTCTTACTTAATTAGGTGATGGCTGTAGATGGTTTAAAGTTCCGAAGGTAGTGCCTATTCTCATGGCGACACTTCGACACAAGCTCACTCCTTTTGTTGAGAGAGAGGTGCTTGGGTGCTTGCGCGATTGCCAATTTTTCTGCCAGGCATTATTATTAAGTTGATTGTTCCAACTAGGAACACACGCTTCTTGCCGAACTTGACACTTGACTGACTCACGACTGCCATCCGGAGCACACAATGAGCACGTCGCACCTTCCACTCGGCAAACCTGCAAGAAAGCACCACTCCCTGCTCAATACACGGTGTTTCGGGGAATTCACCCCTCATCAGTTGAGCTTGAGTAGGCTGAGGAAGATTGTGCCTGAAAAGCACCACTTATATACTGCTCTCCAGGCCAAACCATCAACTTCATGACTATTACCGCCGAAGTCGCAACTTCTAAGTAGGCATTATTATTATTATTATTATTATTATTATTCAAAGGATCAGTCGGGGAAGTGAACTGCCTGAAAAGAGAAAAAAACGCCAGACCCACCAGGACTCGAACCTGGGACCCTGCTTGTCATGAGCAATGCTCTAACCACTGAGCTATGGGACCAGGCTGAACCCAGAAGGCGCTGACAAGTTTTTCACTCCAAAGGCAGCTCACAACACGTGCCACACATACTGATGGCACTTGGGTCTTTTTCCCTCCCCCAGGGGACCTTTGGAGTGAAAAACTTGTCAGCGCCTTCTGGGTTCAGCCTGGTCCCATAGCTCAGTGGTTAGAGCATTGCTCATGACAAGCAGGGTCCCAGGTTCGAGTCCTGGTGGGTCTGGCGGTTTTTTCTCTTTTCAGGCAGTTCACTTCCCCGACTGATCCTTTGAATTAGAAGTTCTCCCAATCCTTTCCAAATTATTATTATTATTATTATTATTAAAACAATCGACGAGGAGACAATAGTCGTAAAATGGCATTTATCTTATTTATTGCCATTTTATTATTATTATTATTATTATTAACTAGTTTGAGGGAAAGAGAGATTATTATTATTATTTGTATTTATATCATTATCTCATGGCACATCATGATGACGGCCAATAAAACTGAGACAAGGGTGAAAGCCAACCACAGCAGTAAAACAGATAAAAGAATACAAATAAGAGGCAAAGAAGGCAAAGGAGGAGACAAACCAGCAGGATATACATGAAACCTATAATTGAGCAGAGATTTTAGCAACAAAATTATCCATCGACGTGCTGGTCTTGGCCTGCGTTGGTAATGTTGCCCAAAACACATAGCCAGCAAAGATCGGGGATCTATTGAATAGGGTGGAGGCAGCGCGTGGGAGACTGAGTGAGTTCCGGGTGTTCCGTGTTTCGGAGAACCAATTATAAGCCTGCATATGCAAGGGTATTTTATTTAGTAATATTTTATGTATGAGAACACAGAGGTGGTACTTATGTCGAGTGGAAAGGGGACTGATCTTGGCAATTTCGTAAAGACTAGCGGAGGGAAAGCGACGATCTTTGCTAAATAAGATTTTAAGGAGCATGCGGTTATGGGTTTCTAGCTTGTTCAATACAGTAGTAGTTATGCCACACCAAGCAGTATCACAGTAGTCAAGTAAGGGCAATATATAGCAACGATAAAACAAGCGTTTGCAAGAAAGAGGAAGATGTCTACAGTGGGCTTGAAGAGCCCCAAGGATGGAGCTTGTGCGCTTGCAGACATACTGCACATGGGGTGACCACGACAATTTAGAGTCAATAATAACGCCAAGATGCTTATGCTCTTCAACAATGCGAATAGCAACACTTGAAGAAGGAAAACAAAGTGGCAGGGAAGGGGGAGAGGGGGAAATGTACATAGCTGCCGTTTTATCAACGTTTGGCTGCAACTTCCAATCATGCATCCAGGTTATAACTTTCCCAATGCTATCTTGCATGGCTTTGTGCAGGCGTATAGGGCAAGCATTGGAGCAAAGCAGAGCTGTGTCATCAGCGAAAAGGCTGACACCAGGGGCAGTATCGGGGAGGTCATTAATATACAGGAGAAATAGCAGTGGCCCAAGTATTGAACCCTGGGGGACTCCAGAAGTAACGGGTAAAGGCTCCGATAACACAGTTGAGAGGCGTACAAGCTGATGTCGGTTAGAGAGATACGATGAGAGCCAGCCGATAGCCTTGCCATCAATGCGATATACTGTTCGCAGCTTAGCTAAGAGACCCCTGTGCCAAACAGTGTCGAAGGCCTTTGCGAGATCGAAGAAAACTAAACCAACATGGTTATGGGCGTTCCGGGCGGTGTGGATGTCTTGCACGAGGCGGGTAACCTGGTACCTGGTGGAGTCACCCCGACAAAAGCCCGACTGTGCTGGCGAAAGTGAAATGCGAACATGATCATAAATGATGTCATATACAACACGTTCGCACACTTTTGATAAAGTAGAGAGCAATGAGATAGGGCGATAGTTGCTGGGGGTGGTGCTCGGTCCTCTATTTTTGTAGGTGGCCACGACTACCGCAGTTTTCCACATGGCTGGGAATTTCCCTTCACGAAATGACATATTCAAGATAATTGACACAGGATAGGCAACAGACGGAGCAAGAGCTCTCCAAACTTCGTTGGTAATTCCGTCTTGACCAGGGGACTTGCCAGTTTTCAGATTACGGAGATATTTCCTCACTTGGGCTGTACCAGTCGACAATGATAGGAGGGACGCAAGTATTGAGGGTGAAGGGGTGAGTGGTGGTATAGGCCACGTAGGGTCGTCAGGAAGTCCAAACGACGTAAACTGCGTGTTCAATATGTCTGCTATGTCTGCGGGATCTGTTGCTACCGTGCCGTCTGAAGCTGTCATTGATCGGATCGGCTCCCGACTACAGTTCTTACGGAGATGGCGGAGAAATTGATGGAGACTAGGGCGATCATGGGAAGACAGGGTGGCATGAACCGACTGTACATACTGACGATGGAGGGTACGTGACAAACATTTCACTTCGTTACGCTTGCGCTTAAAGGCAATGAAGTTTTCACTGGTTGGATACTTCCTATAAATGCTATACAAATCTCGCTTCAGTTTCACAGCACACTTGAGGTCCGGAGTGATCCAGGGTCGGGATGCATCCCGCATAGTAGGACGAGGCCTAATGTAGTCTCCTGTCCGCGGAATAACTTTGTAAGGCAACAGATGACGATGGAATGCTGACTGTAGTAAAGCATCAAACAGGACAATGGCATCATCAACATCAGAATGCCGATGAAGTAATGACCAGTCCAACCTAGACAAGTCTTCATTCACAACCTGCCAGGCATGGGTAGGCACTTGTTTATACCTGTACTGAGCCTGGGGATGGAGGGACGATTTAGCAGTCGCTTGTGGTGTCGAGCACGATGCATAGTTGAGCGTACAAACAACCTGCAGATGATCAGATGTGCCAAGAGGAGCTGCGTGGTCGACTGAGAGGACATGTTGGGGTTTGTTGGTTACCAACAAGTCAAGACATGAGTTGGCACCCGCTGATGAAGTGTATGTTGGGAAACTCACTAGTTGTTGGAGCCCAAGCATTGAAAAAACTGTCTGTAGGTTGGTACCGGCTGTAGAGGTGGAGTCAGAAGAGCACCAATCATTATGTTTGGCATTAAAATCCCCCGTCAGGAAGAAGTCACACTCGTCATAGCAAGAGGACTGTATAGCATCGACCAGCATATCCGAGAAGAAGGACAATTGTACCGCCGTTTGGGAAGGGGGTCGATACATGCAACATACAAGAATAGGGTTAGGGGTGCATGGAGACTTAACTTCCACCCAGGTAGATTCACAGCCCTGACGCTGCAGGTCGGGCCTGTGGAGAATATGTTGAAAAGCATCAGTCCGGACAAGCACCGCGACACCACCATATCCTCTAGTGAAAGAGTGTGCATTTCTGTTCTCGTGTGCTGGTCTGTCTCTTCTGAAACAGGAATAGCCCGGTACATGCACGGAAACAGATGGGCACAGCCAGGTCTCCGTGAGGCAAACAATACTTGGCTTAGTGCTCTCCAGAACAATCGAAAGTTCAGCTAATTTATTGACGAGAGACCGACAATTCATGGTTATCAGCGTTAGGTCGGATTCTGATCTGGGGTAGAATGGGGTAGCATGCAAGTTGAGGGAAGACATAGACAACATGATTATGACGAGGAACTATCACCACCACGTTCCGTCACATTGGTACCGTCGGCAAAGCGCCACTTACGGACGGTGTGGCTAATTGTTGCCGGCCAAAATCCTGCACTGAGTATTTTGCCTTCATCCGTCGCTAGGACAGTCAGTCGTGCATATGCTGTGCCAAAGGTCCGGGATTCGCTAATGCTGCAATTGAGCACCTCAACCTCACGGTCCTTGCACCAGTCAGTAATTGCGTTAGCGCTACACTCCATGTGGACATTGCCCACGTAGAACACAGATTTCGCGACTTTTTCTACGCCTGTAAGGATGTTGGGGTTAGCTGGGGCCACAGGCTTCACGTACCGGGACGTGACCCGACGCCGTACAACTTCGGCCCAGCCATCCGAACTGCTTCCCGTATTTTCACTTGTACTAGTTGTAGCCAATGTTGATCTGGTTGGTGCAGCCGGTGGTGTTTCAGTGCGTGATGAGGTCTGGTGTACATGTGTCGATGTTTGGGAAGTGCGGGTACGGTTGGTAGAGTGTGCGTTGGGGGGAGTACGAGTCCGAGTGACGGTTTCCCTCACCCCAGCCCCTGTACTACCTGAACTAGCTACACTACTGTACGTTGTACTCGGGGTTGTAGATTGTGCAATCAGGTTTGGACTCCCGCCTTCCTCAAGGTGTATCATCTTCGCCACGAGGCCATCAATGGTTGCTTTCATTTCTCTAACTTCCCTATCCCTGTCCTCCCTGAGGGATACCATTTCCACAGTTAATGCAGTGATAGTCGAGGACAGTGCACTGATAGAGCTCACTAGCGCTGGCATACCTGATTTGCCGATGTCCATGGCGCGAAGTTGAAGTACAAGGTCCGGTCGGGCCAACGAGTCCACACCTGCAAGTCCTGACTTTTTGGCCAAGTCACGAATCTCCCCATCCAGCAGCAAGGCCAGGTCCATATTTGAGTTCTCCACCATATTAGGGCTGGGACTAGTTCCAGGTCCACCTATACTTACAAAAGTGGCCGAAAGGCTATTCCATAGATGGAAAGGCAGGAGTTAAAAACTTGCTTCCTACTCCTACGACTTTTTTTTCTCTACCGGAGTACATGTACTTGTCTTTATTGGGAGCAGAGCATACCCAATTATTATTAAATTTTGAAAAGGGCAGTCCCACAGGCCTAGGGCCTTTTTACAGGGTACCTTATGAATTGTTGAATAGATGAACGGAAGTTTCTGAGCAAGGGGATTGTGCGAATATCAGCCGCCGTCTAGCCAAGCTGAATACATCGAAGGCAACAGGACCTGACAATATTCCAGCAAGAGTCCTAGCTCAGTGCTCCAGTGAGCTTGCAGAACCAGTCACCAAACTGTTCTCACTCTGCTTTCGCCACGGTGTTCACCTACCAAATGGAAGCTGGCCCATGTGGTTCCAGTCTTCAAGAAGAGCCCCCGCTCGGATCCCAAGAATTACCGGCTTGTCTCACTACTATCCATCCTGTCAAAAGTAATGGAGAGTATAGTAAACAAGCAGCTCGTGAATTATCTGGAGCGTTTCAATATTCTGCCCGACAGTCAATATGGCTTTCGGCAAGGAAGAGGCACGTGCGACATCCTCACTGCTTTGCACACTGAGTGGGTCAAGACTGTTAGCGATGGAGGGTACGCTCACATGGTGGCGGTGGACATAGCAGGAGCATTTGATCGGGTATCACATTCTGGACTGATTTTCAAAGCCAAGAACGTTGGCATTGGTGGCTGCCTGCTGCACTGGCTGCAGGATTACCTCCTGAACCGCAAACTATCAGTCCTGGTCCACGGCGACTCATCCTCTCCGGCGCCCATAACAGCAGGTGTGCCCCAAGGCAGTATCCTTGGCCCGACACTTTTCCTCTTGTATGTGTCTGACCTGGATCAGTGCCTGTCTCCCGAGACGCGACTAAGTTCCTTTGCAGACGACACAACCCTCTACAGCCTCATCCGCACGCAGGACAATATGAATGACATGACTGCTGCCTTGCAATCCAGCCTCAAGCGTCTTGAAGAGTGGGGAGAACGCTGGCGCATCAGATTCGAGCCCTCTAAATCGCAACAGCTGCTGATGACTACGAAAGCCACACACCCTGCTGTCCCTGACATCAAGTTTGGAGGTATCGCGGTTCCGGAAGCCAACACCATCAAGCTTTTTGGAGTGACATTTGACGCCAAGCTGTCATTCCGGGATCACTTGCACTCAATTGCGACACGTGGCTGCCAGAGACTGGGTGTTCTCCGTCGGGCTTGCCGGGTGTTAGATTACCATGGCCGGCTTTGTGCGTACAAGGGATTTGTGCGACCCATCCTCGAGTATGCTCCCCTTGTGTGGATGGGAGCTGCATCCAGCCACCTCGCCCGACTCAACCGTGTACAGAAACGTGCAATGGCCATTATTGGCCCTGGTGTCCTTCTCCAAAGCCTGTGCCACCGCCGGATTGTATCTGGGCTGGTATACCTGTACAAGCTCCAGTGCATCCCAGGACCACCCCAGCTCACCGCCATGATCCCCCCTCCAGCCAACCATGTAGAAGCTCGGCGCACCCGGAGTCAACCCCCTCCTGGCCAGCAGCACCATGTGCAGCTGCAGCAAGTCCTGGACAGGAGAGCACCTGCCTATGCCTCTCGCTCCTTCCCGTTTTCTGTAGTGTCAGTATGGAACAGCTTGCCGAGCGAAATTGTAAGGGCTCCACTCAGCTTGAAGCGGCTCCACACGTTCAAAGAAGATGTCCATAAGTACCTCACGCACCAACACTGGCTGATGGCTACCGACTTCTACGGATGAACTCTTGACTGTGGCACGGGTCATGTTCCTTGGTTCGGCTATGCTGATGATATTGGGCTTCATTTACCTTTTATTATTTAATTTTTTATCATTAATTTATTATTTAGTTTGTCTTGTTTGTTATGATTTCTTGGTTTTCCACCCGGTTTAGTTATAATTTAAATTATTATTTGGTGCAGCTTTAGCGCTATGTGGTATATTATTTTCCTTTTTCTTAATTTCGTATTTAGCGCTTTTGGGCGTCATTATTTTCTTCTCATTATGTCGCACCAAGTTATTATTTTGTGGTATTCTCTACCTTCTGTTTGTTTGCAGTTGTTCTTGTGCAGCCCCCCCCCCCAAACACACATTTTTCGATGCCTAGTTGCAACGCTGACGCCGAGACCTCTGGTCGGTTGAGTTGCTCCCAGCACATCAGCACGTCGTCCCTACATCCCCTATGTTTTGTCCTTTTCCTCGTTTCTTTTTGTTCTCCACCTGTATTCCAGTAGGGCTGTACTGCTGTGTCAATAGTAAAAAAAAAAAAAAAAAAAAAAAGGAAGCGCGTTCCAACGATCAGAACCAAGAAAGCTAAGCGAGTATAAACCATAGCGACGAGAAACTAAAGGAAGACTACCTAGGTAAGTGACAAAGTGGACTGAGAGCGTGTATGGGCTGAGGTTTGTGAAGTGGCAGTGCGTGGGAGGAAGCAGGTCGAGAGCAGTGGACTGCATAACTTATTGAGGGCTCGAAACACCAGTACAAACAGGCGAAATTGATATCTAAGGGAAATAGCAGCGAGATAGTTCCTAGCTAGAACAAGAGAAGCATCGTAGTACTTCGGGTAGCCAAAGACAATCCGAACAGCACGGTTAGATATACGAGTAATGCGGTCCATTTGCGAGACTTGGAGGCTGTGCGCAAATGCATTAGAGCCGTATTCAAGTAGTTGGGCCTGAATGAAGGAACAGTAGAAGACTCGTTTGGCAGCAGGTTTTAGATTGTGTTTGATTTTCCTGAACACAGCAAGTTTAGCGCCTATCTTGCGTTCCAGGAGCGTGATGTTGGTTGGTTGGTTGTATTTATTTTGATTCGCAAATTCAAACGGGCATAGAACCCAATAACATGAAGGCGAATATGAAAATTATAATGAAAATGAGAATTCGAATACTTAGATCTTCAGCGTAGAGTCAGCGGTACATCAGAGGGAAATCGGGTACAACGGAAAGAGAACCACAAAATAGAAGATTTCGCTTGTCTTCAGCATTACAGCTACAGGGTACAGGTATGGGGATTACCTGCGTGCGAAACTGGCAAACTGCCGAGCGTGATGGATGGCACGGATGACGCTGAGGAGGGCATTCCATAATACAGAATGAAATGTGATCTGGGTACGTAAGATGCTCGTCGAACAGGAGGCCGAGGTATTTGATCGTGGCTGAAGGCGGTATGTTAGTGCTGTCAATTGACAATTGGAGATTAGCTGGGACCGCCTTGGACTTTGGGCGGAATAATATGAACTGTATAGTATGCATTCGGTATGGCTTGCTTCCCAACGGCCTTCCGACTAAATGTGTCTGCGGAGCGACCATGACAGTGGACCACGTCATGACCTGTCCTGCGGGAGGCTACCCGACGGCTCGTCATAACGAAGTTCGGGACGTTCTGGCAGCCATCTTGAGGGATGTTGCGCGGGATGTGGAGATCGAGCCACTACTGTTGCCTTTCGCTGGGGAGCAGCTAGCAGGCAAGACAGCCAATCGCGCTGAGAAGGCCAGGCTGGACATCAGGGTTGGTGGTTTTTGGACCCGGCAGCAGGATGCCTTTTTCGATATCCGGGTTACACACCCAAGGTCGGACCTGCTGTCGCGCCAGCAAATCACCAACCAGCTCCAGAAGAATGAGAGGTAGAAGCACCGCAGCTACAGTGAGCGGATCAACCAGATCGACCGTGGGTCTTTCACGCCTCTGGTGTTCACAACCTATGGCATGCTCGGCAAGGAATGCTCCCTCTTCCTGAAGGCCTTGGTTTGCCAGATTATGGAGAAGAATGCTGATTTGGCATATTCTGTTGTTGTAAGCCAGTTGCGATGCCGCCTTTCATTTTGTTTGCTTCGGTGGTGCATCACCTGCCTGCGAGGCTCTCGGACATCATACCGGTCACGTCGATACAGTTTCGTGAGTGATTGCCGGATGATGTCTAGAGCATGAAGTGGTCCTTATGCTTTATCCCACCCTGAGGCACAACACGCTGCGTGATCTTCCGGTTGACGCCATGGGCGCTGCTCTACCGGATGTCCGGATTGAGCCTCCCCTTCTGCCGCTGGAGGGTCAGGTGAGTCGCTCTCCCGAGCCTCGGCCAATAGAAGAGACGAAGCCAGGTTGGACATCTGTGCAAGAGGTTTCTGGTCTCGACAGCAGGATGCATTTTTTGATGTTAGGGTGACTCGCCCATCAGCATCCGTGTTGTGGAGGGGGCAGCTTCTTGCACAGATGTCTAGGAATGAAAGCCAGAAAAAAGACTTGGAGAGCATATCTGCAGCGTGTAGTGATTCGAGTGAATGTTGAGAGAGGTGCATTCACACCTTTGGTCTTCAGTAGGGAGGTTTAGCAATGCGAAAATTCGAACTTTTGGTGGTGGCGATATTTCGCGAAAATCTATTTCGAAAAAGAAAACTTGTGAGGTTTAGCACAATGCGAAACGACTTTTTCTCGAAGCTATTTGAATTTTATAGTACCGTACCGTATATGCAGCTCAGTCTCAAGCAGGGGGCTGTAAAATTACTACTCCCTGTAGTGAAATGCGTACTGAGAAAAGAGAAAGTTACTTTCGCAAATCACTGCAACTTCGCGTCCAAGTTTTCGAAGTTTCGACCTTTGTTTCTGTACTCATTCCCAGACTCGAATTTTCTTTCGAACTTTCGCGTTGCTAAACGTCCTTAATACTAGCCATTGGCGGACTATGCTCGGCCAATCGTCAAATTATGCTTTTGATTATGCCACAATTATTATTATTATTATTATGAAATGACCCAAAGGCATGCCAACAAATATGCTGAATTATGCTGAATGATGCTCGGTTGTTGTTGTTGTTGAAATTTTATTTTGTATCGCAGACCAAACGGGCAATGGTGCCCTATATTATGATGGCGATAAAGTAACGGCCGAGAGCCAAGGATACAACAAGCAAGCCTCCACGAAAGAGAGAAAAACACAGAAAACACAGACTGCAAATACTCAAAAAGAAAAAAGAGAAAGGGAAAAAAAGAAAAATAAAGAAGAAGAAAGCACAGTTGAGTCACAGTTGAGTCACGACTCCAAGTCCAAGCCTAGATGCTGGCTAACCATAAAAATAAACCTTTAAAAGTCTCTTGAACGATCTATGGCAGGCGAGGGACTTGAACTCTTGGGGCAGGGCGTTCCATAATTTAACAGCAGAAACGAGCGGCCGACAGTCACCAGAGACTCGCCTGGTGGCAGGGACAACATACGCATTTGGATCGTTGATCCGAGTGACGCCTTCAGTCTGGCGACGTAGGCGCTTGGACAGGAGATTACTAATTCTGGCGGTGTGGATACGAAGCATGAGGAGGCGGAGTTTACAGTGGGCGTTTTGGATGATGGGGATGAGGCCTAGACGGGTGTAGATGGGATCTGTGTGGGAGGGGAATGGCTGGTTGGCAACGCAGCGGATACATCGCTTGTCGAGGACCGAAAGCTGATGCCGTTGGTGCGCAGAGAGAACCGAGAAGAAGGCATTAGATCCATACAACATGTCCGGTAGTATAATTAACGATCTGTAAAATAGCAGGGCTTGTTGCTCAGTTAAGCAGGAGCGAATGGCTCGCAGCGCCGTCAGTTTCTGGGAGGTCTTCCGTGTAATAGTTGCAACTTGAGTCTCCCACCGAAGCTGGGTGTCGAGATGTAGACCTAGATATCGAGCATTTGTGGTCTGAGCTAGGGGATTTCCATTGCATTCTATGTTAAGTAACAAGGGCTGCCTGCGAGACGCATGAAGGGCTAGAACGTGGGTTTTGGAGGGATTTAGTATTAAGCCTCTTTCTTCCAGAAAGTTGGCCAGGTTGGAGACTGAACGGGAGAGGGTTAAATTCAAGAATTCGACGGATTGACTGATGGCGTCTAGCAGGATATCATCAGCAAACAGCTGTGAGTGGGCTGGAGCTGTGATCTGTTCTATTTCCATTGTGTAGATGGAGAACAAAAGAGGACCCAGCACACTTCCCTGAGGAACACCACACTCACAGGGAGAGAGGGCGGACGACTGGCCATTGCTCAGGACGACTCGCTGACGGCGGTCAGTTAGGTAGCTCATGAACCAACTGAGAGCCGTTGAGGTAATACCAAGCTGAAATAGATCTGTAACCAAAATTTGGTGTTTGACCTTATCGAAGGCCTTGCTCATATCGACAAGTACAAGACCTGTATGGCGCTGCTGATCCGCTGCCTCCAAGTATCTGTCTACAGCCAATGTCAGGGCATCTTCTGTGGAGTGAAGTGGGCGATATGCGAACTGGTTTGCGGGGAACAAGGAATTTCCGGAGAGGAACTTACAGAGTCTCGTGTGGACTACCCGTTCTAGGACTTTGGAAACTATTGGTAATAACGATATTGGTCTATAGTTCTTAGCGACAGCTTTGTCGCCTGACTTGAAGAGGGGACGAACATCCGCAATCTTCAGAGATGCAGGAACAACACCAGAAGCCAGAGATGCATTGATTAGTATGGTGAGGGACGGTGCAAGGACAGGAGAACAGTGTTTGAGGATTGCAGCTGGAACCTGGTCGCTGCCTGCAGCTTTGCGCACGTCGATGTTGGAGAGCAGCTTAGCGATCTCTTGCACACTTGCTGGAGCAAATTCTTCGAGGCATTCCTTCTTCGTGGGACCCAATGTGGCTGAGAGACGTAGTGGTCTAGTTGGGTCTGACACAACACCGCTGAATTGGTCACTGAGCTGTGAGACACTGACGGCTGGTGGAACTGAGGACTTGTTACGACCGCTGAGGTAGTTGATGGTCTGCCAGGTTTTTCGTGCGTTGGCCTGACTAGCAGCAAGAAGGTCCCTAAAGTAGATGGCTCGGAGATGTCGTGACATACGCTTGGCTTCGTCTCGGGCAGAAGTGAAGACATTGCGTAGTGCCGGGTCTGCAGGTGATGCTTTCCACCGTCGATGGGCCGCGTCACGTCGCTGGACTAGGTCATGTAGAGCTGGCGTCTTCCAGGGGAAGGATTTCCGGGTAGGAGCTCTTGGGCGGTGTAGACGGATAGGAGCATGAGTGTTCAAGGCCGCGACAAGTTTCTCCAGCCACATATCCCACATTTCATCTTCTGTCCGCGCAAAGCAGAAGTTCTCTAGATCGCTATTTAGAAGGTGGTGTGCAAATTGACCCATATCAATTCTTGCAATGTTACGGCCACGTCGCACGGTCGGTGTGCAGGACGTTGTGAGTCGCAAATCAAGTGCCAGAGCGAAGTGGTCACTGATTGTACAAGGTACTACGACACAAGAGTTCACATGATCGTCTCCGACCAGAGCGAGATCCAGGGTTGTTTGGCTGCCTTGGGGTCCAATTCTGGTAGGACTGTCCACTTGGTTCTTGATGTCGAAAGAATTACACAGGTGCAGCAAGCTGTTTAGCTGGGGGCTGTCGCGGGAGCTTACATCGACATTGAAGTCTCCAACAAGGACCAGAGGTGATGTGGGAAGTGTGGAGATGACAGTGTCTAGTGCATTCGTCAATTCTTGCCAGAATTGCACAGGAGTGCCTGGAGGACGGTACACACCACCAAGGAGAACCTTGGAACGCTGCCCACTGACCTCTAACATGAGCATTTCCACCTGGGTGTCAGCCTTCACAATTCGGGCTCGGAGATGATCTCTTACATATGCTGCTAAGCCTCCGCCATGAGTTGGCCTGTCGCGTCTGACCAGGGTGTAATTCTGTATGCGTAGGATGTCATCGGAAACGGAGGTTGTTAAGAAAGTCTCTGCCAGCATCATTATATCAACTTTATGGGAAAGAATATAATCTTCAATGTCATGCTTTTTATTGAGAAGATGGCAAACATTTAGGAATCCTATTTTGAGGTTACTTTTAATTAATTCATGCTGTAGGGGATTCGGTTCCACTATGTATTCAGTGTTCACGCTGTACATAGAGGATTGAGAAACCACGCATACACACACACGCGGCCCCAGGGCTTTCTGACAAAGCTGTATTATGCCCTAAGCATAATTTTTGTCTAAACCGAAAGATTATGCCGACCTTACACGTTGAAATCCGTATATTATGCCGGAGCATAATTTTTTGCCAAAGCTGCATTATGCCCTAAGCATAATTTTTGTCTAAACCGAAAGATTATGCCGACCTTACACGTTGGAATCCGTATATTATGCCGGAGCATAATTTTTTGCCAAAGCTGCATTATGCCCTAAGCATAATATTTGTCTAAACGGAAAGATTATGCCGACCTTACACGTTGGAATCCGTATATTATGCCGGAGCATAATTTTTAATAAAGCTGTATTATGCCCCTAAGCATATTTTTTGTCTAAACCGAAAGATTATGCCGACCTTACACGTTGGAATCCGTATATTATTATGCCGGAGCATAATTTTTTGACGAAATCCCAAGATTATGCCAAATATTATGCCGGCATAATCCGCCAAGGGCTAGTCATCGCTTTCATAACATTGGGCAGAACTGCCTGTTTGACAATAATCCGATGTTGTTGTTGTTGTTGTTGCCCGCACGCAGCTCGGTTGAGGTCGTCGTCGAGCTTCACGGGCAGGGTGATACGAGGGCGGCCTCTCCACTTGTGGTCATCACATTCACGGTAGCTGACCATGCTTAGGACGGCGGGGGCATCACTGGGAAGTCGAAGGATATGGCCAAATCGCCTCCACCGAGCTCTGGTGATGATGCGGCTGATCGGCTCTGCCTTGCACCTAGTACCTGTCGTAGAGTGCTGTTGTTGCGATCTTCTGCGGCCAGACGAAGCCGATCAGTGAACGGAGCTGGCCGCGGTGGAATGCGTCGAGCCCACCCTCGGCAGCTGCCGTGAGTCCCCTTGTGCCGGCGTTGTATACTAGCACTGGTAGTACAAACGCATTGTAGAGACGAAACCTCAGTTCTTCTCCAACGGTACTGCGCCGGCTCCATAGTGACCAGAGCGATCGAAACGCTGCAGCGGCTAGTTTGTTCCGCCGAGAGACATCCTCGTTATCCCCGAGGAGTGAGCCGAGCTTCTTGGTGGTGCGCTACTGTTCCGCTATCCTGTCCAGGGATCGGCCCAGAACGGTAATTTCTGTTTTATCCGGGTTTACCTTCAGAGCCCATCCGTTGAGGACGTCACCGACAACCGGCTCCAGGTCACCCAACCAGCCAGACTCTGTGGTGATGAAATCCGCGTCGTCGGCGTTGGTTGGTTGGTTGGTATATTTTATTTTACTTCGCCAGAATGAACAGGCATTGCTGCCTTCTTGCCTGGACAAGTGGATTGTCCAAGCTCTCACAAAAAGACGAAGAAAGAAAAGAAATATTGCATGAGAGTGTGAAGCATGCAATCTTATAAGAGAAAATTCCATGAGAGTGTGACGCATGCATGATGAGAGAGGAGAGATAGATAGATAGATAGATAGAGATAGATAGATAGAGAGAGAGAGAGAGAGAGAGAGAGAGAGAGAGAGAGAGAGAGAGAGAGAGAGAGAGAGAGAGAGAGAGAGAGAGAGAGAGAGAGAGAGAGAGAGAGAGAGAGAGAGAGAGAGAGAGAGAGAGAGAGAGAGAGAGAGAGAGAGAGAGAGAGAGAGAGAGAGAGAGGAAGAGAGAGAGAGAGAGATAGAGACAGAGAGAGAGAGAGAGAGAGGGAGAGAGAGAGAGAGAGAGAGAGAGAGAGAGAGAGAGAGAGAGAGAGAGAGAGAGAGAGAGAGAGAGAGAGAGAGAGAGAACAGAGACAGAGACAGACAGAGAGAGAGAGAGAGAGAGAGAGAGAGAGAGAGAGAGAGAGAGAGAGAGAGAGAGAGAGAGAGAGAGAGAGAGAGAGAGAGAGAGAGAGAAAGAAAGAGAGAGAGAGAGAGAGAGAGAGAGAGAGAGAGTGTGTGTGTGTGTGTGTGTGTGTGTGTGTGTGTTTCAGAGACAGAGACACTGAGAGAGGGGGGGGGAGAGATATGCGGATTGTTAAAATGGATTTCGAGTCGAGAGAATTTTCGACATGAAGTTAGGTACACAAAATGTTAATATGGGTAAAGGCTGGACAAGTCGAGAGCCGTGGCTAGAGCTTTAAATGTCCGCCAATCGCCTGCAACTGGGAGAGCATTCCACAGAATGCTGCCAACAAACTGAATTGAACGACGTCCAGCGGGACCAGGGAGGAACGGAACTCTGAGCAGGCTTGACACTTGACCCCGTGTCGTCCTCAGCTGAGGTGTGGCAGGGTCGTTGATCGGCACGAACAGATTCTTTAACAGGGGACTTGTCTTGTCATTTAAACATTTGAAAACGAAGATGGCAAGCTTCTGGAAGAGAAGCTGTGGCAAGCTTGGCACACCCAGTAGCTCGAGAAGGGGGGCAGTCGGGACCAGAGTCCTTTGCTGCAGGGTCGCTCTGACACCGGATTTTGACAGGCGGTGGAGTTTATCCAGGAGCTGCTTGGAAAGACTGGAGAAGAAACAGTTGGATCCATAGGACAGATGAGCCTGTATCATGCTGACATACCAGACTTGGCGTGCTCTTAGGCTCAGGGACCTGCCGTGTCGCCATAGCTGTCCAATTACTGGCCCGATCTTGCGTGTTACATGGCTGATATGTGGCTGCCAGGAGAGGTCATTGTCGATTACAACACCCAGGTATTTCGCAGATGTTGTTGCTTGTCCTCGACAACGTACATGTTCTTGAACATCAGCACCGCCTCTTGGCTTTACAAACAGAGGCGTACGCAATTTCAAATGGCAAGCCGAGATCCGATGATGGCCGAGCCCTGGCAGTAGCAGTGATCCTTACATCCCGCAAAGCTGCCTCGAGATATCATATACCACAAATAGAACAGGGGACAAGGAATCGCCCTGGGGCGTCCCGATAGTGGTATCGGCGGATTAGGATGTTGCTGTGCCGATGCGTACACAGAAGGACGTGTTGGCAGAATGCAGATAGACAGTAGTAATTAATGAAATTGGGGAGGGATGTAATAAGGCTAGAGGTGGATGTAAAATGAATAAACAACTACAACAACAGCAACAACAACTACTACGTGAGGATTACTGAACTGCACGGGGAGGTAGAGCAGAGCGATCAGCAGTAACTCGAACTACTCCCTACAGGCTTATGGTACACATGCATGCTTAAACTCAGGAAGCCGGTTAATTGTGCGGACCTCACCAGGGAGAGCGTTCCACAGCATTGCACCAGCAACAGAAAATCTCCGTTGACCGCGCGCGGCTACGGTTTGCTTGGCTCAGTACTAGTAGTAGGCCATTTGACTGCTGATGGCGGGCAGGGGGTAGGGTGCCTTGTGCCGGGGTCAGAAGCTGGACGAGCACAGGGCTGGTGCGGGCGTGGATGCACCGCCAGATGGTGATCAATATTTTCTGCCTGCATAGCTCGCTGACACGGTACGGGGAGTGAGCAGTGAGCAGCAGCTGCATGGCTGTCCGGGGATTGCCATCGATACAGCGAATGGCTCTGTTTTGCGCGGTTTGCAGTCGTTTCAGTTGACCCTCTCGCATTGCGGCTGAAAAGCAGCAGGAGCCGTAAAGCAGGTCGGGCATTATGACCGCCTTCACATACACCTGGCGAGAGCGTCTTAGGCTTCGGCGTGCGCGCACAGGGCGCCAATTTTCTTGGCAACCTTGGTGACCACATAGGTCACAAGGGTGTCCCAATCTAGGCGATTGTCAAGGCGATTGTCAAGGTGAACACCGAGGTAGCGCGCAGGAGACGCTGCTTTTGACTGCTACTTCCTGTACATGCTGCTGGTGAGAGATAGCCAGAACTAGGCATGGGCGGGTAATGCTAGTTATTTGCTGCGATAATGCTAAAGGCAATGCTCATAATATGAGGATATAATGCCACTTATAATGCTCACACTACTCCATAATGCCAGTTTGAAAGTTGGAAAAGTCGATGTAGGAAGGCCGTCTTGGATCAAGGCCAAAGCGTAGAAGAAAAAAACTTAAACAGCAGTGAGCATGTTGTCTGAAACAAACCACTGAGAAGGTTGATTTGCAACGTCAAGTCTCCGGACGAAGCCGGACGGGTTCAAATGCACGATTTTCGGAACTGGACCTAGCCAGCTTCATGCATGACACCAGGCGATGCTGTATTACTCTGCCCTTGTCATACCGGACATTCTATATGCGTCGAATGCGTTTCTCCCAGGACTGTCCGCTGAGCAGCGGAACACATTAGCCAAACTGGATAAACGTTGCATCCGTTGCGTGGCCGATGAGCACCCATTGGCCCACACTCTTCCCCTGTACACCAGGCTGGGTGTCTGCCCAGTGTTGGAACGAGGGGAATGCAAGCTCCGACTCCTGACATTTAGAATCCGTTCTGGAATCGTCAGTGAGCTGTTGTCGTCCCGAATTGTATTGCAAGGCCCGCCGACAGGCATGACCACTCGAGGTCAGTTGGGACGCAACCTTTCCCTCCCCCTGGCCCACAGTGCTTCTGGCGACTCTGGAATGGCCTGCCCGACTGTATGAAGTCCATAGTATCTGTCCGTGAATTCAAACGCATGCTACGCGTGTTTTACATCGGTTAAATGTAATGGCTTTCGTAACCTGCTGGTGAGGCTCGATAGAATCATGCTACGATGACCCGACTTGTAAATTTGAGATCCATTTTTCTGCTCGTCTTGACCCTGCCTCCCCTCATTGCTACTTCCATTTTTCGTATTTTTATTTTCATTTATTTTTCTCTTCATTTCTGACTCTTCTTTCTAGTTGTCATCGCTTTCATAATATTGGGCAGAACTGCCCGTTTTCCATGCGATGTAAAATAAATAAACAACAACAACAACAACAACAACAAAAACAACAACAACAACAACAACAACAACAACAACAACAACAACAACAACAACAACAACAACAACAACAACAACAACAACAACAACACCGCTGTCGACCGGCAATTATGCTTGTAATGCCAATTTTGCATGCGAAATGGTGTTATAATGCCAGCATTATGCCACCTGGAAAAAAGGGACTATAATGCCAGCCATAATGCTAGCATCACCCGCACATGCCTAGCCAGAACCTTGCTCTTGGCGGCGTTCAAGATGAGGCCTCGAGACTTCAGCCAATCGGCCAGAGCAGTTGCGGCTGTGGTGAGGGTTCTGGACGCTTCCGCCGCTGAGGCCTGGGAGTCGTACAGGGTTATGTCATCTGAGTACACTTGGCATAGGCGAGGAAACCAAAGGGACATCTCGTGTGTATACACTGAAGAGGACAAGGCCGAGAACAGAGTCTTGGGGCACTCCGCAGGTGCAAGCCAGAGCAGGGCTAGTTGAAGGCGAGATGAGGATCTGCTGCTTGCGGCTGGCCAAGTAGTCGACGACCCAACTGAGGGCATTTCCAGAAACTCCAACTGCAAGGAGGTCTCGGATCAACTTGTCGTCGTGCACTTTATCAAAAGCCTTCGACATGTCTAATAGGCACAGCCCTGTGATCTTGCCACTGTCTCTCGCCTTCTGCAGATTATCCGTCAGCACACAGAGGGCGTCTTCCGTATTGTATTCTAATCTGTATTATGTGTTGCTGTAGTTTTGGAGCGGTGCTACAAGTACATCACATACATAGTGTTTTTCTTTTATAGAAAAGAAAAAAAGGACCAAGGAACTACAAGTTACGCTATAATGTCCACTAACACCACCAGTTACTCTAGCACATCTTGGATGCGCACTCCAACAGACTTCCAACTTGGAAGGTTCTACAAAGTAAGTTGTAGAAATAACATAAGGAGAAGGTGAGCGCAACCAAGATAAGCACGAGCTGAACGTCTCAGCTGTGAAGGACGTAGGCGGATGTTCATGCATGCCGATGACGATACTGGCAAGACCATTGGCCAATACGGTCAAACCACGATTCAAGGACGCAAAGCAACATTCCACACAACTTGTGTGGCTCAAAAGATGCGAAGATCAATAAAAGGGGAAGCTATGCGAACAAGAATCATGAAAAACCGAACGCCTCAGTAAAACAGCACTGTACTTCGACTACGACAATTTAGATCGACAATGAGCAGCGGTAACAAGCAGCAGTTTCACACGACGATCGTTTCGGCGTATAGATAAGGACGGCTCATCAGGTGTTTGCACACCTGATGAGCCGTTCTTATAATGGACTCGGATGGAGAGCCAAGCATTAATTTATAGAAAAGAAAAAGGACCAAGGAACTACAAGTTACGCTATAAATGTATAATACTAATAAACACCACCACTACGTCCACTAGTTACTAAACGATCAGCTCATGTGATAACATTATGCTTTTAAAGTTATTTCATAGAAGATTAGACTTTCATTTCTATAACTTAGAACCTTCCAAGTTAGTTGGAAAGCTGTTGGAGTGCGCATCCAAGATGTGCTAACGTTAGAGCTGTTAGCCTGTTAGTTGTAGAATGTCAGTACCGTCGGCCAGTGTCGTGCAATGTTATGGCATGAGCTGATTGTTTAGTAAAGTAACTGGTGGTGTTAGTGGACAGTATTAGAGCGTAACTTGTAGTTCCTTGGTCCTGTTTCGTTTCTATAAATTAATCCTTGGCTCTCCATCCGAGTCCATTCTTGCACACTTGATGAGCCGTCCTTATCTACACGGCGAAACGATCGTCGTGCATGTGAAACTGCTGCTTGTTACCGCTGCGGCCATCTAAATTGTCATAGTGGAAGTACAGTCATAGTCGACGGCACACTTCGGCGAATTGCTGCTTAGGCGAGGAGAGGGTGTTTTCGACTACAGAGCATTTCACCAAATTCTTGTCTGTTACATACCTGGTGCCGACATACATAGTGAAAATGTCGTACTGGCCTTCAAAATATCAAAAATGCCTTGACATTGAGCAGGGAGTGGTGCTTTCTTGCAGGTTTGCCGAGTGGACGGTTCGATGGACTTCTCGTGTGCTCTGGATGGCAGTCGTGAGTCAGTCAAGTGAGAATTCAAGTCGGCAGGAAAACCGCGAGCTCCCATGTAGGGAGCAACACAACACAATTCTCTGAGCAAGCAAGATCAGTAAAATGTGCATTACGGATAGTGTTTGGTCACCCTCATCCTCCCACTCAGCATTCAGAATTCTAGGAACCCTTGAACGTTTTGTTGAAGCCTCACTGCCGTTACCATGGTTTATATACCTGAAATAAAGACAAAGGTGTATTGTTATTATCAAGAGTTTCATGTACTCTTGTTATTATTACCTGCCTGGCCACGATTGTAGATCTCCGTTTTTTTCCTCTGTGAATATTTGTCCGATCTTCGATTACTGTGATAGCATGACGTGGTTTATATTATTCGCTACCTGCAGCTCGTCCTGTCCAGACAACTGTCGTGCCTTCTGCTCAGCAACGATTTCTTGAAACCCGTGACCCAAACAGATAGAAAAGGGTGACAAACAGGTTTCAGGTGTAATGAAGAATTGGGTGACCAGCATTCATGGCCTTCACACACAGTGCATGATACTCTAGTGCATACTCTAGTGCCTTTTAGGTGCAATGTATCTGTAGGTGCCTGGTTTCTGAACAGAAATTACTGAAATGAAGTTACGTCAAATATAATGTGTTTAAACAATATACTTGAAGAAGTAGACATATATACGTATGGACTGCACTGGCCAGCTTGGGCTGTAACCTGGAATAGTACAAAATAATTAGGAACGATTGGTAAACAAAATTAATCATGCCCTAGCATACATTTGCAATCGGATATATTACCAACTGTGCAGGCATAGGAGCAAAGGATACCAATCCTTCACAAAATGCTGATCCGCTTGTGAGCAAATGATCTACTTTGTCTATAGAAATGACATAACTGAGCATGCTGTGACGGCTTCATTTCCATAGTTACTTTGCAATGAAGCGAAATTGACTGCAGCCCGATCATGTACTTGAGCATTTAGTTGAGGCATTCACTGTCGACTAAGGCATGCCGGTGTCTTCTTCGTCGTAGGTCAAATCCTCCGTGAGGTGAAACGAGAAATTAGGGTTCTTGAGCAAGACGTCAGATGATTCTTGCCTGCTTCCAGCGCGATGGACAGAGGCCTTCGGACTTATGATCCGTGTCACGTACTCAATGGGCTGTTTCATAGCATTTTGCAGGAGTTCCATACTTTTCCTGCGAATCTGCATACCCCCACCTGGTACTGCTAGCTCGGCTGGCGAACTATCCTGAGAACAAACTGAGTAGCCCTTCTCGGGCAGTGGTTGCTCTTGTTCGGGCTCTACCTGGATGGTTGCCAAAGAATTGCTGAACACTGCACTGTCAACTTCGTCCGCGGGTTCTGATTGAGAAGCGGCAACCTCCCTGCGGCTGCGCCGACTCCGCTGTCTTCTCTTGATCTGAAACCCGTTCAGGGTTCGCATGCTGCCTACCCGCCGCCTGTTGACTACGGAAGTGAAGCTATCTGATGTTTGAGTGCCCCAGATGTCTGAGGTAACTGGACTAACACTTTTCGGGCCTGCCGGTGCCACTTGATTTGGAGGTTCCTCGTCGATAAGCACTATCTCGTCTGTCTCATTCAAGTCTATATCCAATAGATCAAGCACAATATCCGGGAAGAAAAGATAAAGCACCATCATGACTATGCCGAGTACACACAGGAGAAGACCATTGATGAGTGTCAGGATGAAACTCCAACCATACGTAGTTTCCAGTACACCATCCTCGAATGGTATTTTGAGTGGCGGTCCCACCATGTTGTACAGTAGACTATACGTGAGGCAAGCCATTAGCAGTAGGACACCGGTTAAGAACGACAGGCACGCACTATACGCCAGCGTCCATGTGGCTGTCAACACTGTGAGGAAGAAGAATGCAAGGGCAGTCCTGGCAGCGCCATAACACGCACACACACACGCACGCGCACGCACATATATACGTGTACACACATACACACACGCACATGCACGCACACAAAGGATTGGGGGAATTTTACAGTTCACATTGAATTTAATGGGAAGCAGAAACTCTCCACATGTATTTCATTGTTTTCTCTGGTGTCTAAAATCCTCAGGCTGCGTTTGTCCAGTGGAAAGATCCAGTATAAACATCTGTCTACAAACTAGTGAGTGTCTTGATGAGTGGTTTGGTCAAGCACAAACCCTGAGTAATGGCAAGGAAGGACTTGCAGCTTGGTTATATCCTCGCTGTGTCCGAATGGTAAATTTATTTTCCAATTAGGTTTATGGTGTACATGTGTATGCCCACCCATTCTCTCTCATGTGTGCTGCTGTCATAGCCCATGGTTGAATGTGCAAGAAGCTTGGTTGACGGTGTGTGTATGTACGTGTGTGTGTGTGTGTGTGTGTGTGTGTACGTGTGTGTGTGTGTGTGTGTGTGTGTGTGTGTGTGTGTGTGTGTGTGTGTGTGTGTAGTGTATGTGTGTGTGCGTGTGTGCATGTGCGCGCGTGTGTGTGTATGTGGGAGGGGAGGGGTAGGTGGGAGGGGAGGGGTATGTGGGAGGGGAGGGGTAGGTGGGAGGGGTATGTGGGAGAGGAGGGGTATGTGTGCGTGTGTGTGTGTGTATGTGGGAGGAGAGGGGTAGGTGGGAGGGGAGGGGTATGTGGGAGGGGAGGGGTATGTGTGCGTGTGTGTGTATGTGGGAGGGGGGGGGGTATGTGGGAGGGGAGGGGGAGTGTGTATGTGGGAGGAGAGGGGTAGGTGGGAGGGGAGGGGTAGGTGGGAGGGGAGGGGAGGTGGGAGGGGAGGGGTAGTTGGGAGAGGAGGGGCACCGTATGTGGGAGGGGAGGGGAGTGTGCATGTGGGAGGGGAGGGAGAGTGTGTATGCGGGAGGGGAGGCGTAGGTGAGAGGGGAGGAGTAGGTGGGAGGGGAGGGGGAGTGTGTATGCGGGAGGGGAGGGAGAGTGTGTATGCGGGAGGGGAGGGGTAGGTGGGAGGGGAGGGGTAGGTGGGAGGGGAGGAGTAGGTGGGAGGGGAGGAGTAGGTGGGAGGGGAGGGGGAGTGTGTATGCGGGAGGGGAGGGGAGTGTGAATGCGGGAGGGGAGGGGTAGGTGGGAGGGGAGGGGTGTGTGGGAGGGGAGGGGGAGTGTGTATGTGGGAGGGGAGGGTATGTGGGAGGGGAGGGGTAGGTGGGAGGGGTAGGTGGGAGGGGAGGGGTAGGTGGGAGGGGAGGGGTGTGTGGGAGGGGAGGGGTAGGTGGGCTTACCACATCAGTAGTGCTGTGTAGTATCCGGCCTGTCGGTACTGGCGCCCCCAGCGAATCTGCTCACCATCGATGGTGAAGTACTCAGCAATCCAGAGTATAGGGTTGGGTATGCCGCGGAACTGGGCTGACCGGAACTCTTGGCTAACAAGACCAGCTGCACCAAAGAAGCATATCCACATAGAACCAACAGGTTGCAACTATTGGCAGAAACTTGTTTGAAATCTGTTTATCTTTTATTCTCACAATGTCCTGTGGCCACAAAGAGACAGTTATCGTCGTCGTTGTTGTTGTTGTTGTTGTTGTTGTTGTTGTTCAACTTGTCATTGTTGTTGTTCAACCTTTCATTGTTGTTTTGGGAATATACACACTTCACATACCTTGCGAACCAAATCCAATCCGTCCCTGCAGCACTCCAAAGTTAAAGTGTTCATTGTAGTCTATGTCTTCGGATAGTTGCTTGATAGGTTCTCCTGCAAGAGCAGAGCAGCCAGCAGAGCAGCCAGCACACAGGAGTTTGTGTAGGACTTTGTGGATAATTGGAAAAGAATTTGACCTAGAAGGTAGTACTAGTGTCCAATCCAAGATTTATTCAAAACCCCACATCAGTGAATAATAGCAAGAAGGTACAAGAGAAAGGTACAAGAGAATAGCTAGAGAGAAAAGGGAACCCAAGGAGGAGTCCAGCTGGAAATGGAAAAGGAAAGATGAGAACAAGGACGACTGAAGGCACTTTAAGCATTTCCTAAAAAAATTAATGTCGACATGTATGAGCAAGAGTACTCTTGGTATGAGTAAAATGTGAAACGATGATCGCAAGGCACACAATGAAAGGGAAAGAGAGGATTTGCTGAATACATGCTCAATATAATGATGAATAATTATGCCGAAGACATGTAGTATACAAGCGTTTCGGAGACGGCAGTTTTAATATAGCTACACGGAGTGTGATGTCCCCCCCCCCCTCCGTTCACAGGCTTCCTTCAGTCTGTTCAGGTTTGCTTTGTTTTGCTGATGATTCATACAGGCATGTTGTTACCTGCTGAAATTGTCCCCCGCTGAATACATGTAGTGTAATCACCTTTTTGTTTCGCTCTTTGTCCCCTTCTTTCACTTTTATCTGTCCATATAAGATTAGTTTGAAGTTTTTTGTTTGTTTTGTTTTTAATTAATAAGTCCTCTATGCTCCCGAATGAATGCGGAAAGTGGTGGCGGGGCCCTGCTGCTCAGCCGACCTTGGTGGTCTCGGCGTCTGCACAGACAAAGCGCGCCAAGAAAACATAGAGAAGGACATAGGAGACATAAGAGAGAGAGAGAAAATAAAAACAAGACGAGAGCAAGACATGTATACGGACATGTATCCGGAAGTGCAGCGCCCACACATCCACTGCTGAAGTTGTCCCCATTCCATTGTTACGTAGATTCAATGATGAATGTAACAAGAAAACAGTTCTGAACAAATCCTCTCTTTCCCTTTCGTTGTGTGCCTTCCGATCATCGTTTCACATTTCACTCATCCATGTTGACATTAAGGAAATGATTACAGTGCAATTAGTCGTCCTTGTTGCTATATTAAAACCGCGGTGTCCGAAACGCTTGTTGAAAGACAAGAACATTGGTAGTTATACTATGTACATGTCAACACAGTAATACTACAGTGTAGTGTACAGGTTTGATATCATATCAGTGAAGGCTATATTAGTGCATTGCATACATAGCAACAAGCTTACGACTCCAGTCATGTGTATGTGCAGATCGAAGCAAAACCATTGTGCTGCTTCACCAGCGGCACAGATAAACGAAATAATTATGATACAATGAATTGAGCATGGATATTATCAGCGCAAGTCACGTCTTCCATACCTTTTAGCGTGATGTTGACGCTGTATAAACCGATGTGCAAGCCGACTTTGGCATGTATTGTCTGGTTGGTGAACTGTCTGTACGCTGTTTCTGTTTTCAGTGAGCCGGCTCGCCAACCAAAACCAAAAATGGACACTAGATGAGACAGAGAGAGACAGAGAGACAGAGACAGAGAGACAGAGAGAGAGACAGAGAGACAGAGAGAGAGAGAGAGAGAGAGAGAGAGAGAGAGAGAGAGAGAGAGAGAGAGAGAGAGAGAGAGAGAGAGAGAGAGAGAGAGAGAGAGAGAGAGAGAGAGAGAGAGAGAGAGAGAGAGAGAGAGAGAGAGAGAGAGAGAGAGAGAGAGAGAGAGAGAGAGAGAGAGAGAGAAACGGACAGGGAGAGACAGACAGAGACGGAGAGAGATCAGAGAGAGATATAGCGAGACCGTAAGAAAGAAAGAAGCATAGCTAATACCTGGAATAAAACGATAATTGTTCCATAGGTGTTACAGCTTCACAAACTACATTGCTGCTCAATTAGCTACGCTGGTCAGCCCCAGACTTGTGAACACTGGACTGTTCACTAATATGTACTTCTTGAAGTACAAGTACTGTACAGCTCTGAACTACCAGTACCGGTACATATACATGTACATGTAGTCATGAATCCGGATTTCGTTGAGCATCGCTACATATTGCACTCCCTCCATCTCTCTACAAACGATTTTTGAGGATTGGCGAAGAATTGCCATGCCTTCTCACCAGTGAAGAATTGCCATGCCTTCTCACCAGTACCGTTTTTAAAATACACGTACCGGTACATGTAGATCTACCCTTGTATAAAATAGCCACCGGCGCATCACCATGTAAACCTACACACTGAAAGTAGTCATGCACGGTTCTACGGCGTACCGTCAGGTGACTCGAGTAACGAGAAACTCTACAAACCTCCTTGTGCCTTTTTCCGTGTAATAGTGCTCCATATTATTGTGTGGAGTCCTCTCCGCTGGAGAAAAGGAGTCTCTTTGTATTCCAATTTCGAAAGACGTTTCAGCACCGACACAATCCACACAGTCAAGTAAAGCCAATTTAGTAACCATCGTTTTGTTCCAATCTGATCATGGGTAAGTACAGGGAATAATGGAAAAAAATTATGTCAAAATATGTTCCACACGTATAGTCGTATAGCGTGCGGTTCTCGATCTATGCTTTTGCTGTAGCTCTATAAGTTGTTGTACTTTGACATTTTTCCATTATTCCCTGTACTTACCCATGAAGAGAAGGGAACGAAAACGTTCGGTTAAGCCTAGTTCACATTCGACGGGGCGCGACGGAACGCGACGTAAGGATCGATGGGAAGTGACGGGACGGTCTGACGGCGTCCACTGTGAACACCAGGAACGGGAACGCAACCGTTCTACCGTACAGATCGGGAAGCGACGGGAAGAGTTGGATCAATCCAACTTTTCATACCGTAGACGGGCGTAGACGGGGACGCAAGCGTACAAAACGGCTGCAATTCGAGTGTGAACAGGAGACGGCGCCGTGCGCCGACTACTCCCGATTCGTACTTGGGGAAATTTTTAGCATTTCGAACACTGTGCTTCCGAGAATGGCTAGCACGACTTGAGTTGAATTTTAGCAACATAAGATCTCATGTCATTTATTGTATTTAGGGATAGTTCAGAAGCGTGACAGACGAACTATTCTATCATTTCCCGGGGCTATTATTTGAATGCCACAACTTTCAGGGCTAATTTTTTGGTCTTCATGAAAAACTGGTATTGTGAACTTGATTCCGCTTCTTTCAAGGAGAAATAATTGAAAAGAAGTCCCGAAAAACGAGAAATTAGGTCCGAAAGTCACCCCGTCACGCACCGTGCCTTATGACTCGCGCCGTTCGACGTAACGTTGAACGTCGCAACGACTGCTGCACATGTCGTGTCGTACGAATCGTACAGGATTTTACAGCTCACCGGCACCCCAACCCTCCCGGCCCGATAAGCCCTTACGTCCCGTACCGTCGGCATTGCGTCGAATGTGAACTACGTAGGCTTTAGTAAAGTGGCTTTACTTGTCTGTGTAGATTGCGTCGGTCCTGACACCTTTTCTTTCGAAATTGGATACGCCACCAATTTTTTCCTTACATCTTTGCATTCCTTTGTTCATTTAGTCACTGTATGCTTATAACGACCACGACGAGAACGTGTATGAAAGGTCCTTGCTTTGGGTGACCACTGTCTCTTACGGCTGCGAGAGTGCAATAAATCAATTGTATCCTTTCCAGACCATGATTGATGTCATAATCTTCATGGTACTACCACCACGACCTGCACTACACCAGCAGCTGCATCAGCAGCACCCGCCATCATCATTAGAAGCACATGGAAAGACTGATGATTATAAAGCATTACTAGCACTAGCACCTCCAGAGTAGGTGTCTATTGGTCTATTGCCACGGTTCACATCCATACCATGCCCCCCGTGGATAGTGCTCAAATTACTGTTTCTGCTGCTACCACTACGGTACTCTTATTCTTCTCCAGGTCATCTTGGATTTTCAATAAAGTTCTTTGAGTACAGGGTAGGTTACTAGTACCTACAGAGCATGCAGATAAAGAAGTATCCCACAACGGAGGCACCGATCACGGACGATACTTTCTGTCGGATCAGAAAGAGAAGAACAGAAGAACAAGGGATACACTACGTCAGTTACTAGTATGGTACATGCAAGCCTTGCTTGACAAGGGTTTTACTTTAAAACATTTTTTTACAAAGAACACAAACCCGGCTCGAGACCAAAAATAATAACATATTGAACGATGTTGGACAGTAGAGTTTGGGCAAGAGTGCATAAACAAGAGTATGCATAAACAAGAGTATGCAACTGTGGTTATGGCCCAGTGCGCGGCATGCACGCTGCCTTCATTACGTAACTTGCCTTCATCACGGTCTGAAATCATGCATTCAAACTCACAATTTCTCGTGCGAGCCCATCCGTTTTTGCTCGATTCGTTCCAGTACCTACGCGATCTCTGAATTCTGGCGCGTGAACTCCAGTTCCGTACGAAAGTTCATTTCAAACCAGAGAGAAAGTGCGGTGTTCGATTTTCCGCAGCGCGCAGACTGCAGCTGAATGATGTAATGAAGGCAGCGCGCCGCGCATCTGGCCCATAGAAATGAGATCACAGTTGCATACTCTTGTTTATGGACTCTTGGTTTGGGGCGCTGAGTCGAATGGCGTTGGTCCCATGTCTTGACGACAGAGCGTTCAGGGGATGATTTCGAATTGAATACAGTATTTTGATGTTCTCAACACAGTGACAGTTCAGAACTCTTGAACCTTTGTACAACTTTGCTGCAGAAAAGGTCAAAATCGTGCGCCACATCGCTTGTCGCATCGTAGAAGTTGAGCTTGGCTCAACACAATGCAATGTCTACAGGGGAGGGGGTGGTCCGGTTTAACCAAAATTCAATAGCCAATATACATGTATGCGGAATCATTATTGAATTGAAGTAACAGTTAGTTGTGCTGTCGCAATGACAATCCGGGGACAGAAACACGGAGAGAGGAAGGGTAGAACATAAAATAAGTTCTGCTCTGTTTTACTTTCTATTTTCGTTCGTCCCTCTTGATATAATTGTACTTTGTACTGTTGAGGCAACGAACTGAAATAATAAAAACCAACCAACCAAACCAAAGTGAGTCAAGCATCAATAGTCACGGCTTGAAGAACGTTTCAACTTATTGTAAAGAACTCCTGATGTAATATGTCCTGATGTACACTGTACATTACATACTATCCAATGTTCTTGTCCCTTCTACAACAAGTACAAAGAGGGCGAACTGTGCTGTAGCCATTTATTAATTTTGCCGATGTGCATGATTCAATTAGTGCTACCAAGAGTATAACCAAGAGTATAATAACCCCCAGGCCAGGGGGGGGGGGGGTTATAATAATTATACTCTTGGTGCTACGTACGTTGTATCACCAAGAGTACTTGGAGGATATGTACCCTTGGTTGTATGATATGAGAGGGCTGTCGAGTCGAATCATGCACATTTGCAAATATTTTAAAAGGAATGGTGTCCTCCTTGTTTGAAAAATATTGAAGCTTTAATTAAGACGAAATTTGAAACTCACTGAAATCACCAGAAGAAGAAGAAGAAGAGCTACAAATAACATACATGTACATGTACAATGTAGCTGTGCAAGGATACCGTAAAAGTCCGTAAATAAGTACGTATTTACTTTCGAATTTAGTGACCACACCCGTACTAACTTTCGGGCGGGTACTGACTTTCGGGCACGAACTAACTTTCGGACCTGACTAGTGTGTAGTGGAGAAGTCATTTTCATGTCGATGTACATGCTACGTGCTGCATGTGCGCACCGTACCGGTACTTATTTCGGGCAGTATGTTTATCGGGCTTGACTTGACTTCAACAGACAGAGCCAAAAGAATGTAGGGGTATTTCTTTCGGGCAGGTACTTATTTACGGACTTTTACGGTAAGTAGTTACCAGTACTTCTTCCTCATAATGGTAGTTTGGACTCACCTTTCTCTTGTCCAGAATGCCGATAGATGACAGGAGAACGGAGAATAGCACTATGACGAACGAAACAATCAGTGCAATCTCCACCACATCTGCGGTGACTGCTGACCGAATTTCTCCATATAACGCAGGCGCCGGTGGGGTGCGAAAACCACTGAACTTGCTAGCGAATTCTGCCATGCCTAGCACGCAGTCTGAGTTAGCACCAGACTAGAATGCTCCGAGCTCACCTCAATCGACAGTCCTTTTCCAAATTGAATTAGGTTTCCAGTGAGAGTACATAAGAGCTAGAGAACTCTTGCTTGCAGAGCTCTGGCCACGGCTTTGTCCAGTGTTTTCCTGAGTTGATCAGAGCCCAAACGTCATGAACTGACGTGAAGAAGCAACCTGATTTTCATCGTCTTTGAGACAACTTGTGCAAGAAGCAACCTGATTTTCATCGTCTTTGAGACAACTTGTGCTCGTGCAGGATCAAGGAGTAGCCTGCACCAGAGACTTCGGTTCAAATAATGTACGTGTGCGTATCCTGCGTGTGTATCCTGCATGCAGGCGCAAGGCCGAGCCTGTGGCCTGGCCTAGCCTGTACAGGCTGTAGCTGTGTAGCTATAAATGTTGTACGTTGTTGTTGTTGTTGAGTTTTATTTAAAGTCGCAACACAAACAGGCCATTGCGTCTTCTTTTATACATGCGAGCGACATGACAAATTTAATAATAATAATAATAGTAATGGGGAGGGGAGGAGAAAAAAATCACAAGTGAAAGAAGTACGTACCCATTGTCACGTCGCGCACACGCATACACATTTGCCCTTCGACCCTTGACGCCCATCGCCGCGCCGGAACGGGGGGGGGGGGCATTATAGCGATGCTACAGCAAAAGCCATAATATTACGCACACACTCATGGCCAAGGCCAATCAAGGAGGAGGTGAGGGCGATTATAGCCAGCCATGGCAAAAAAAGAAGAAAAAAAGAAGAAAAAGAAAAACAAGTGCAAATCAGAACAACAACAATAACGAACAAAGGCAGAAATAGCAATGAAAAATATCAATTGTGCACTCATAACCATGTATAAACAATTAAAATGAAACAATTCCAGAACGTTTTCGTGTGACTATCATGAGTGGAACATCGTCACATAGTAAGAATCACTAAAACAACCAGTTACTAGTATATAGCTAGAGAGTAGAGTATTTAAATATGAAAAGAAGCGTGAGAATGCAGCACAGCTAGCGGTTATGCATAACGCGTGTAGTGTGAACCTTTGCAGTGTATCTGAGAATGGTAGCAGTAGATGAATGTGGCAAGTGTGAGGGCGTGCCCTGACCAAGCATGAGGCCAGTGACGTCGAGATGGATATGGTTGCGCTTCCAGCTCGATATGGAGGTCTGTCGTTGGACAACCCCGTCATCGATTCCTCCCGCAAACACACGGCATCGGTTGAGTGCACCGCTAATCTTGAAACCCAGATCGCCACAGGCGGCTCGGACCTGATAGGGAGCATCAGACAAGACCATGAAGCAAAGACTGCCGTGCAACAGCGCCACCGCGCCACCCTCGACACCAAGGCTAACGAAATCCAGTCTCGGCTGCCCGAGCCGCAACAACGGGCCATGGCGTTGGCAAGAGAGAAGGGAGCCTCCAGCACGCTCACAACAATACCGGTGGCTGAGCACGGATTCTGCTTCGACGTCAAGTCCGACTTCCATGACCACGTGCGCATGCGATATTGTTGGCCACTGGACAACCTGCCGGCTTCTTGCCCATGTGGAGCACGCTACTCGGTGGATCATGCGCAGATTTGTAAACTCTCCGGCTTCATCCATATGCGTCACAACGATCCTACCGACTTTATCGCCTCATGCATGAAGGAGGTGCATTGTGATGTTGAGGTGGAGCCGAAGCTCCAACCTCTCACCGGTGAGGTCCTCCAGCGACGCACCGCCAACACCGATCCGGATGCCCGCGCTGACCTGAGAGTGAGGGGGTTCTGGACGGATAGCAGAAACGCATTCTTTGATACAAGGGTGTTCTATCCCCATGCGTCAAGCTACCGCTCCAGATCCCTCTCCTCTCTGTACCGAAGCTTTGAAGGGGAGAAGAAGCGTGCGTATGGGGAGAGAATTCTCCACGTCGAGCATGGTTCCTTCACCCCTCTGGTCTTCTCTTCCTGTGGGGGGATGGGCCACGAAGCTGCCATCACGGTGAAGAGGCTGGCAAGTGCTTTAGCCGTGAAGAGGCATGCGCCGTACAGCCAGATGGTGTGTTGGCTCAGATGCATGCTAAGCTTTTCGCTAGCCAGGTCTGCTATTCGCTGTGTCCGTGGATCACGCTCAATTCGCCGCCGTCACATTGACCATGCCCCTGTCGACCTGGTGCGAGCAGAGGCACAGCTGGTGGTCAGCTAGACAGTTGTCATCATGTTTAATTTCTTTAGTTCTCAATCTATCATTTTCATGCCAGGCGTGAGCCAGTCCCTGGCTAAACAAAATGGGTGCTCCTTTTTAGTTTAGTTTTCTTCCTTTTAGTTTAGTTTTTCTTCTCTTCTTCTTTTTATTTTGCTTTGCCCGTACAAGAGGCTTACTTTGTTAAAAAAAAAAAAAAAAAAAAAAGTGTGAGGGCGTGTGGACAAAACTGGTGAGTGCGTATTAATTTAAAAAGTGTGAGTGCTACAACATTTTCTTTTTGCTTGCATAGAACAGGGTCACGTGTGCGAATATATACAGCTTCCAACACCTGCAACTGCTTAAAGAAACGTGCGCAACAAATAACACTAAACCAGGAATCGTCAAACAACTTACGACAATCCGGACTGGACACCAAATGCTTGTAGATGCCTTGTCTATTTCCACCATGTATTCTACCAATACCCCTCCTTGTTGTCTCACTTCCAGCTACCCTCTTCCCAAAGCAGTCGTCACCCTTCATCCATAATTCTTCCTAAAGCTGGCACCTTCTTTCGTAAATCAACCCTTTTTTCTTTGAGTGTTGCCTGGAATAAACTTCCTGAAGATATTCGTTCACTCTCTACAACAGCGAAATTTAGTATTGCTGTTCGTCGGTATCATTCGCAATCTATGTTTTCTTTGAAAGGTATTCCTGACTTTTGTGTCTAGGCTAACCATATCTATGATAGTTTCAATAGTTTGTGTATATGTCAGTTATAGTAGTCCGCAATGCTGCTTTTCTAATTCTCATTATGATTAGCATGCAATGTACTACCCGAAGTACTGAATTTACTTCTTCTGTACTCTATATTCTAATGTATCTTCTACCTCTTCTCCCTTACGAACAAACTTTCTCATTTTCCATACTTATATAGGAGACTCCCTTCGATAGGCATCTATTTGCCTCTGGAGGATCCGTGAAATAAAAATCAATCAATCAATCAAGATGGCAGACTTGCTCTTGTCGATGTCGAACTCCTCCTCGTCAGTATCACTCTCATCCTCCACTTCCTGTTCCTGCTCACCCTTGCTTTCCTCCTGACCATCCTGTTCATCCCCATCATCATCCTCCATCTCCATCTCCTCATGCCATCGCTTCTTTCTCCTTGACGTGTTCACTGCTGCGCCCGTACTTTCACCTGCCGCTACTGGTTCCGCCTTCTCGATTTTTTTTCTCGAATGCCATCTACAAGCATTTGGTGTCCAGTCCGGATTGTCGTAAGTTGTTTGACGATTCCTGGTTTAGTGTTATTTGTTGCGCACGTTTCTTTAAGCAGTTGCAGGTGTTGGAAGCCTTATAATATTCGCACACGTGACCCTGTTCTATGCAAGCAAAAAGAAAATGTTGTAGCACTCACACTTTTTAAATAATACGCACTCACCAGTTTTGTCCACACGCCCTCACACTTGCCACATTCATCTACTGCTACCATTCTCAGATACACTGCAAAGGTTCACACTACACGCGTTATGCATAACCGCTAGCTGTGCTGCATTCTCACGCTTCTTTTCATATTACTCTACTCTCTAGCTATATACTAGTAACTGGTTGTTTTAGTGATTCTTACTATGTGACGATGTTCCACTGATGATAGTCACACGAAAACGTTCTGGAATTGTTTCATTTTAATTGTTTATACATGCTTATGAATGCACAATTGATATTTTTCATTGCTATTTTACGACTGTTGTCTCCTCGTCGGTTATTTAAAGGCAGAAATGTTTTCACATGATTGCATTTATTTTGGTAAGCGAGTCCCAGAGACAATAGCTAATGAAAACAGGCGAGCGACTCATTGAGTTATTTCTTGAAATAGGGAATCTTAGTTTATTACGACTTGACTTAAGCGCCTTTTGAATATGCATTGGGGCCTTCAGTAGTCTAATCTGATGGATAAATCTACAGCAGAGTCGGTTAATTATGGTTTGTAAAGGACAGTTTTTGCATTGGGAATACAGAATTGTTAATGGGGTGTCAAGTGGGAAGCGAAATATCGCTCTCAAAATCCTGCGATGCATTAGTTCAAGCCGCGCAAGCATTCCTGCTCCAGCACTGCACCACACAATGCTACAGTATAAAATTATGGGTAAGATATAGGAGGCGTAGAAAGCCCGACGACAGACTAGTGGTAACTGGCTCATGTGGCTGTATAGAACACCAACAGCCGAACTTGTCCGGCGCTCGAGATACTCCAGATGGTGGGACCAACTCATGCCTGAGTCAAAGATGACTCCAAGGTGTTTGTGGTGGCTAACAATTGGGATGGGCGTCCGGTCGTCAGGGAAATGGAATACGTACTGGTCGATGTGGGAAAGATCGGAACGCGGATGAGGTGGAATGCACAATATGACAGTCTTTCCCACATTAGGTCGAAGTTTCCAGAGACGCATCCATTGAACCACTGAGCGAATTTCCGACTGCAAAGAATTACACGCCATGGGCAGGGAAAGGTCAGATGCCACAAGAGTAGTATCATCGGCGTACAGGGAGGTATTTGGAACGCGAGTTAAGTCATTTACATAGAGCAAGAAGAGAAGAGGACCAAGTATTGAGCCCTGTGGCACACCGGAACAGACTTCGAGCGGTTGGGACAGCGAACCTGACACCCTGACCTGTTGGACCCGGCAGGATAGGTAGCTTTCGAGCCACCGCAGAACATGGCCACCGATGTTAAAGGAGGCGACTTTGGCCAACAAACCACGGTGCCACACATAGCAACTCGTGCTACGGACGCACGCACGCGCGCGCGCACACACACACACACACACGTACACACAAACACACACACACACACACACAGATGAGCAATCCGATGGAACAAAGGAGAGAGGGTGGGTGGCGTACTTTGATAAGCGCATCGTGGATGCGGTTATCAAACCCAGTTACATGTACGTCGGCTGGAGTTGCCTAGCCCGGACTAGCCCGGACTAGCCCGGACTATGGATCTCCCTGCAGACGCTTACCAGCCACTGGAAGACGTCATAT